TATGAACATTTTGTTATCTTTGTCATGGGAAAAAAAAAAACACTTCTGTGCTCCTAACCTTGGCTATTTATGTCCTTTATTTTTTTTTTTCTTTATCAGTTTTGCTAAGGCTTTATCAAACTTACTGATCTTATCAAAGAAACATATTTGACCCAGTTGACTCACCATTTTTTAAAATTTTATTTTATGCTGTATTTATTATTTGCTTATATCCTTTGGCTTTACTCTGCTTTATTCCTCCCTCCTGGGAAAGGTTGTCCAAAATATCAGGCTCTGAATTTTATTTGGATAATTCTTAACTATCTTGTTAGCTCTTCACTATCTTCAAGCAGAAGTTTTCCAATGTTAAAAAGAACTTAATTTTTTCCAATTGTCCTCTGAGAAAGTAAATGTTGGCATAAGTAATCTATTACACAGGGTGGAAGATCTTAATTATTCTTTGATATTTTGGGGGGTAATGTTACATTTTTTTTTGCTACCAACTTTGCTCAGATTCTTGGGCAGAATTAAGTGAACATGTTAGTTGCTCCACTTAAAATTCTTGTGTACTTTCTGTGTTTCTGCATTACCCTGGAGCAATGCCTGTCCTGTGGGCAACCTCCTATTCTTCACACTGGGCATTTATAGATCACACCCGTTTCCCACAACAGGTGATAGAGGTCATGCACTCTGTGAGGATTTTTTTGCTCGTAAGGTAAAACCTGCCTTACTCATAAACAAATTGCATCATCACAACTAATTTGTAGAAATTTGCAATGGTGGCAGTGAAATATTCTACTTCCATTCTATATGTATAAAATGTATGGTGGAATATTTATTCATGCTCATATTCACAATTCATAGTTTTTTTTCCCTTGTGGAATATATGGTGTAGTTTGGAAGGGAAGACATACACACACACACACACACAATCTCAAAGAAAGATCATTGGGTTAAATGTCCATCAATAGCACAGGACTTCAAAGTACGTGAATGTGGGCTGAGTTGTAAGGTAATGTTTTTGCAAGATGTAAGATTACCTAGGCCTCAGAGGATGAGTAGTTTATAAATAGACAGGGGACAGAAGATGAATAACACAAGACAGGATAGACATTTTGACATTGTTACTGCAATTTCAGGTTTTCAGGTCTAGTTCCCCAGCCTGGGATTGATTCCAGGATGTGGCCATGAGAACACAGAATTCTAACCACTAGACTACCATTGGTATCTGATGAAGCTGCAGCAGGAACTTCACTGATTCTCAGGCAAGCAAGTGAAAAGAGGCAAACTTGTTTAGGAAATATATATGAGGAGAAATTTATTAAGGAGAAAAGAAAACAGAAACAAAGTGGGACTCCCAAGTATGTGGACCCTCCTAGGGAGAAACAAAGATTCCATAATGGGGTGGTGTCCCAGGGAATATACACTTTCTTTACCTAATTATACTAAAGCCGCATCAGTTCTTTGTTATTGGTTAGTTCTCAGTGATCTTACTCACTCTACCTTAAGACGATATGCCCAGAATTATGTATTGCTTCCCAGCCCTTATCTTAGTCTTTTTTTCCTTTATGGTCCTTGTCCTGGAATGTCCTTCACTGCCCTTAATGCAGGAGTGTTGGGTTAATCCCCTTTGGAATTTGCTGCCCTTATCTCTGGAGCCTCTCTTATTCCTGAAGTCTTTTCCTCCTATGCTGTTCTGACCCTAGAAGCTATCCACTTGCCCTGTGACTCAACATGTATCCAATGAACAATCTTTTGTTCAAAAATAGCTTGTGTCCTTTGATTTACTATAAATATGACTTTGGCTGCTTCACTATCAGAAATAGGATGAACTCATGCCTCTCAGTTTAGCTCGCTCTTCATAGATTTCTTCACATTTTCCTTTAGAGTTATTTTCAGTCTACAACATGATAAATCATTGATTTAGATTTACGATTTGTAGACAGCACAAACAGTATTGTTCTAGAGTAATATTTTGTGTAGAATATTTTACCAGAATAGACTTCAAAGATCTAATATCTTTCATCATGCGACTTGGATGTTGATCTCTCAGTAATCTTCTTTGTTTGGTGAATATACCATTGCTATACTCTCTAGGTGAACATTTTCATGACTATGGATTCAGGAATTATTAGATTTATCCTAAGTTAGCAAAGACAAATTAAACAAGTCTATTCCCTCTCATAGCCTAATCATTGTCCTTTCCCCATTCAGCATATATATAGCCATGGAGCCTTTCTCAAGAAATTTATTTAGGCATTCTTACAAATCCATCAGAATTATCATGCAAGTTTAAAGTCAATTCAAATGATAAGTCTATAATTATGCTTCAAATATCTGAAACAGACTGTTTTGGTAAATAGCAAGAACATACATGCTTAGATTTTTCATGAACAAGGAAAAGTATCAGAGCACATAACCCAGAAAATAAAGTTTTTTTCTTTAACAATGTAAATGAATTCAAATAACCTGGAGGGAAATTTTTCAAAAACCTAGCTATCTAGGATAAAGTCAAGTCCTTTCCTTAAGTTTGTATTATTTCATTTAATCTCAAATTTCATAAGATTGGTAATTGGATAAAATCTAACAATTTTTATTCTGGATTTTTAAGGTTATTTGAACTTACAAAAACAAAACTTGTGTTAAAAGTTGGGATCTTTGGGCCTCCCCTGGTGGCACAGGTGGTTGAGCAGTGCACTGCGAAGCTGTCTGCGGCCTCTGCAGCGCCAGTTTGAATCCGGCCGGCTGGCGAGGGTCCCACATGGTGCCACAGACCTCTGCTGTCTCGCCTGCTGCTCCCTCGGCAGTGTATTTCGTCAGTCTGCCTGTTCTGTTCCCCGCTCTGTCTCTGGTGAATCCTCTCACTCTCCCGCGAATCTGGCCTATACCCTGGTTCTTGTATAATAAAATAAATCTTTAAAAAAATAAATAGGGCCTCCCCGGTGGCACAGCGGTTGAGCGCTGGGTTGCGAAGCTGCCCGCGGCCTCTGCGGTGCCGGTTCGATCCCCGGCTGCTCCCCGGCCACCGGCGGAGGATCCCACATGGCGCGCAGACCTCTCCTGCCGCCCGCTGCTCCCCTCAGCAGTGTCCTTCGGTCCTTCTGCCTGCTCTGCTCCCTGCTCTGGCTCTGGTGAATTCTCTCACCCTCCCGCGCTTCTGACTGTACCCAGTGCATGTATAAACTAAACAAACAAACAAACAAAATAAATAAATAAAAAAAAAAAATTTAAAAAAAAAATAAATAAATAAAAGTTGGGATCTTTGTAAAGGGATATAAGTTTCACCCAAACTACTTGAAGGGCTGATGTTTTTCCAACAAGCTGATACTGTTCCTAAGAGCAAGTGTCTGGCAAAGGAAACAGAAATGATCCAATAATTTTTACTGGATTGTGTTAAGTTTAGATGCTGGTATAAAAACTCCACTAACAGTAGCTTAAAATAACAGGACTCAAGCGACAAGATTTCTCATAACAAGCAATCACAAGAGGGTGATTCCTCAACAGGTTAATTCAGCAGCTCAGCCCTATCTGGTCCCTTATCTCTTTCCCTGGCATTTCCTTTGGTGTTGCCTTCATGATTGGAGGGTGGTTGATCAAGCATCATGTCAAACCCACTGCTCACTGCAGAAGAAAGGGGAGCTAGAGGAGGAGATCTATATATTTCATTTGGTATTTATCAGGGAGGAATATACTTCCAAGAAATCTTCAGCAGGATTCCTTAAGATCTCTTTGTGTTACTTGCCCTTGTTATACCACCAGCCTTGGAGACTACCTGCTAGTATTTTAGCTAATGTGTGCATTTCTAACAAGGAAGAGAGGCAGAAGGAATTATGACCGACAATGTAACTACCATATTTACTGAGACCAATATAACCTAGCAAGGGAAAAGTGATAATCTATGTGCAAGTCATTTGCTGAGGTATAAGTTCTAAACATCTGCAAGTTTTTCCAGGGTATGAATCTTGCCTCTCTCACTCAAATTAACAATCTCACTGCCTAGCAGAGTACCCATTAGACTTTTAACAGATATTGGATATTTAGGACCAGTTATTATTATTTCTGGTATCATATTGCATGAAACAGAAGATGCAAGATTTTGATTTAAATATTTCATTTTTATAGTGTATTTTAAAATTGCTAATGATTCTCTATTATTAGCAGCAATAAACAAGTAGGTTTTTGGTACCAATTTATTTATAAGTTATCTATTTTTTTTTAGACAGCTAGGTGAGACATAATTTTAAGGGCATAATATATGAGATGCTTATGGGTGGAAATAGTGGAAAAGTTTTAGGATGTTTATAGGTTGAGAATTATCCACCAAGGGTGAATATGGACACAGCCTGAGCACACTTATGTGTGAACATACTGAAGCCTTGGGTTAGGAGGGAGGGTCGCTAAGGAAGTAGGGAACACATTTATTTTCATCTATTTGGATATTACTTCTACCTAAACCATTGAACTACCAAAACTAATTGAGATGTGGTAGGAAGATTTACAGATAAAAATGAAAGACTTTTTTTGAGAGATTAGATTTTTGTGTGTGACTCCATCAACAGCTTCTAAAGTTACTTTGACAAGTTTTTCTACTGATATAGAATTTAAATTCTCTTCTGCTACATAGAAGCTCAACCTTACAACTCTAATAACCTGTGATACAGAGAGCATCATCTAATTTGCCACTTCTTAATAATCAGAGATGGCAAATGTTTGACATATACGTAGGTTACCATTCTTCATCCTACTCCTATTACAGACAAAACTAATAAAGCGTTGCATACTTTGCCACTCCTCAGGATGCAGCCTTAGGAATTATCCACACAGCACACTTAGGAGAGTCTATTATTCACTCTGACATGTAGAGCATAATACCACTATCATACCAGTTTCATAGTTGATAAGTGTGTTTCAGTGCTGATACATTATTTAATATTTTTGGTTCTATTTTAATTTTCTATTGTTGATGTAACAAATTACTACAATTTTTGTGGTGTATAACTGACAAATTTATTACCTTACAGTTTTGGATCAGAAGACCTAAAATCAAGGTATCAGCTGGGTTATGCGCCTTCTGGATTCTTTAGGAGAAAATCCTTTCCTTTTGGAGACCATGTACATTCTTGGGTAAGGACCCATTCTTCTATCTTCAAGGACAGCAGTATAGTGTCCTCAACTCTCTCTGACTTTCTGTTCCATCACCATTTCTCCTTCTCTGATCTTGTCTCCTTATTATAGTGATCCCTGCAATCATACCAGACCCAGCAAATAATACAGGACTATCTAGTCCATCTCACTACCCTTAATTATATTAGCAAAGTTATACTTTCCATGAAAAGCAACATATTTACAGGTTCTGAAATTTGAATATGACATCTTTGGGTGGGTATTATGTCATCCCATAATACTGTTATGGGGTGCTTGAAGTTTTTCCAAATACCTTTTATGTTTTTTAGTTCTCACCACACATTCTTTTAAATAACCTTAATCATGGAAATGCATGTCCTGTGACCATTAAAATATCTTTCATACTTTACCCATATAATCAAACCAAAATAGTAAAAATACTTTGGATTAAGATTTATCTATAAAATGAGATTGTTTTTCAAGCTAATATTCTAGTTCTGAAAGACTTTCATAAGAAGGTCACACTGAAATATAGGGAAGAGTAGTGCTATTAAAATATTTTGTGTACAATCTTTCAGACTCTCCAGAATGGTGTAGTTATCCTGCCTGCTGCCACTCCAAGAGGGGGGCCTGAGTGTAGGAGGAGGTTGTGCTGCTCACTGTCATGTTAGTGCTCAGCACAGAGCCTGACTCACACATACCTGCCAAATGATAGAAATCATAAAATAATGGCATAAACACACAATAGGTGTAGTAGAAGTGAGTTTGTTACTGCTTGCCATATGCCAGAAGCCAATATGCAGAAGTAGGGACTGAATCTCATAATCCATGCTTTTATTCAGATTTGCCAGCAGATCTGACAACTACTGAGCATCATGTCCCAAAAACATAGTTCTAACACCTCATCTCTAGATGGTTGTTTCATAGTGAGTTTAGCAAAGAAAATTATCAGTGAGTGGACATTTACTCCAGGCAGTTAAAAACTCTGGGCATTTGTGGTGCTCATTATCCCCATGGTCCCCCTTCTGCAAGCATCTGGATTTTAGGAGCTCTTCCCAGCCTTCTGGGACCAGTCAGTCTCTGACATTAATGATGTCCATCATTCTTCCTAGGAGCCTCCTGGCTGGGAAGTTAACTCACAGCAAACAGGACACAAGTCAAACATGCAAATTTGTATACATGCAAATTCCCATCCTACGCCAGTGCGCTTTTCATGCCCTGCCCTAGTCCCTATCCAGTTGACAGATGTAAAATTTTATAAATGGAAAAGTATTTTATAAACATTCTAAAATCTTAGGAAAGGCCATGACATCACCATCCAAGTAGATACATTCTATTTAAAATGATTCCCAATCTCCTTGACTTTTTAAAAGGGTTATTGCTTAAAAATAGAGAATAAAAGAGTGCCTCATTTCTTGTTGGCTTTGCCATCTTAATCAGATTTAACAGTAAGAAAGCTACAGCATCCTTTGAAAGGAGGAGTAATGAGTGCAGTCCTTGGTGATTTTAATCACTTTTTAGCTGTTTTCCTGAGAGCCCCATCTGCCCTTCTAGTCCATCTGCTGGTTGTTAACACTTAGTCAGTCACTTGACAAATCCAAAATCTGAACTGAGAATGGGATGGGGGATGTGAGATCATAGTTTCTGATGATTAGATGTTGTGATTGACACACACACAGGCACGCAGACACACATATATACACACGTATACACACATACATGCACACACCCCACCCCCCAAGATGCTTCTGTTCAAACCTAGCCTTTGTAGGTCCTAGAGTCAATTTGGTCCAGGTATGTAATGTCAGAAAGGCATTGTACTTGGGAAAATGCATAGAAGTAGTTGCTTATGATTTTATCAGGCATTCTTTGCTCAACAATCAAATTTCCTTTGTCATGGAAGCTGATAAGTTTTTCCTTGCTAACTGGTAGTCTCTTCATTATTTGAGGGGATTTACAATTTATTAGAAGAAAATACCTACACTCATAGCCACATTTTTCAATGACTTTGCTCGAAGGGGAGGAAAATTATTTTAATCTAACATGTTCTTTTTGTTTGAAAGTTTACTAGAAGTTAGATGATTGCAGCAACAAATATTCATATAAATTCAAGATGCAAATACCTGAGTACATAGTAAATTGTATGGAAAATAATCATAGGTGTTTTTTTTTTTTAATTTATTTTTGCATAGAACTGGGGTGTAGGCCAGAAATGTTGGGGGTGAGAGGATTCACCAGAGACACAATGGGGAGCAGAACAGGCAGATCGGCTGAAATACACTGCTGAGGCGAGCAGTGGGTGAGATAGGCACCATATGTGGGTTGCTCCCTGGCTGGGGATCCAACTCAGGCTACAGTGGTGATAGCATGATAATGCTAAGACTTAGCCCCTAGGCCTCCAGGGAGTTCCTGCATAGGTATTTCTTTAATTGGAACTGAGATTATGATATAGTATTAGGTAACATAAACTTAGTCTTTGTTACTGGAAATAGTGTCAAGATTAAACAAACTAGCTGTTCTCTGGAATGTCAATTGGTGGGATAACATCAGAGTATTGTACTTTGATCTTATGACCACATGAAAGAGAAATTTTTATAAATAGCTTAGAGTTCAGAAAGATGCCTAAAGGGTGACTAGGTTATAGAAAAAATGTTAAATGAAGAACAACAGAATGAGAAATATTTGGCCAAATATTTCCACCAAATATCTTCCCTAGATTTCTTCCTGCACTGTCAGTTGTACTTAGTTTGTGTCACTGCAGAGAACAGAATACCCTCACTTGGAAGATACTGGAAAGCAGATTTTGTCTTAGTATAAATTATCAATTTATACTGAATTAGCGGTAGGATGTTTAAATGTTTTAATTAAAGACCAGCATGCTTGGGATGAGCAAAATAGAGATGTTTTTTGAGGAAAGATGTCCTTTACATTTCATTCAACTTAGATGCTAAGATAAATTATCAAAAGGCATTGGAAATTATGTAATTTTCTAAAAAGAAATATACAACATAGTTTATTTTTAAAAATGCTTATACTGTAGAGTAGGAATTAAAATATTAAAACATGAACATCAACTATATAAGACTTTGGGAGAATGCGTAATATCTAGTTAAGAAGATGGGATAATTACAAAGGTAGAAATGATTGGATAAGACCTGGGAGGGGGAAATATGTGATAATAGAAAGTGAAATGCTCATTATGATGTAGATGAATGATGGAAGTGTAAATAAATATGCTGTGATCAGAAACGTTTTCCAGGTTACAGGTATGTTTGGGGAGAGTTTTGACTTTAATACTGGAAAGATGATTAGGACTAGATGACATTATTGTCTGAGAGGCATATTTTGGAGTTAGGACTTTTTTTGAGAATCATTGTGTACCTTTGGACAGAAAAATGGTGTGATGAGAATGACATTAAAGCAAAAAAATCTGAATGTGCTTGAATAAGAAAAATCTGCAAGCAGTGAGCACAGTGAAATAGACTGCACTCTTGGAGAAGAATAGAGTTCTTGCGATGGCGAATATGCTGGAGGTGGCTTCAACACTTCAGGCATCAACAACTGCCTTGACACTCATTTAGCAACTTGTCTATGTCAAATAATGAGAGTTACCACTTTAGAGCCTTTAGCAACCTAGCAACCACAGAACCATAACAATGTTGTTTTCATCTCCTTGTCCAGACTAATGACGCATGGTTCTGTTGTTTCTTAGACTGAATTGGAAAAAGAAATCTGTTGGAATACACAGGAATATTAAAAAATTTCAGAACATATAAGGTTATTAACTTCCTAAGTCTGACAATGTGTTTCCTTCACTAATTATTTTCCAGAATTGTCAGAAATGCATGCCTTTCCCCTCCACTATATTTAGGGACTTGGTAAATTTTACAAGGTCAGAGATCATTTTTTTCCCTTATGCCCACCATAATTTCTGAGGAAAAGTAAATAAATAGGATTTAATTACATTTAAATTAGCTGTGGAGCTACAAAAGTCAGTAATGGTAATATCATTGTCTAGCTTGAACAAATTGTAACCCTACCTATGATGTAACTCTTTCTTGCTTCAAAAACATCTCTTCCTTTGTTTGGCTTCATGTTAAATTTCCTATATTTATAGCTTTCTCTCATAGATTGAATGAGGGTAAACATGACAGATGATAAATGGTACATTTTGAAACCTCTGAGTCCTGTTTTCATCTATATGACCTGCTAGCAATTTTAATGCCTGGTTAACTTCATTCTAATAAGTATTCTCCATTGTTCAAATTAATTTTGTTGTAATGTTTGTTTAATTATAGCACTTAAATTTTATAGTTGGCTATTCAAAGTGTAAGCTTGTTTGATTTTAATTTAAAAAGGAGAAAGAATATTTATTGTGCAATTGACTTCTCTTATAGCCATTGTGATTACATAGCAAGGTAATTGGTGTGATGCAATTTCCCAAAAGGTCCAGCAGCCTAACTAGAATTCTCTCCTCTATTGCCTCTTATGATAACTGAAATACTGTTATTAATCTTTCGTCAATTCATTTCTTTCCATAGTAATTTACTAATTATTTTGGGCATTGTATTTTTTTACTAGGAACTTGAAGGTAGTGAGGTAAGAGTGGACACGCAAAATGGTACAGACCCTTGCACTGAGTAACTCACATTGAATGGGGACCATAGAAATATTAATGTCCAAACAAAGTAGAATGCAAATCAGTCAAGTAAGAGACTTACGGGAAGAGTATAAAGCTAGTGTGCAGGAAGAGTTGCCTCACAGTTCTTTGAGGTTGGAAGATTTCTCAGATAAGGGTGGGAGTTTACGAGACAGTGAAGCAGTTGAAGCAAGGTCCCTTAGAGAAAAGTGGACCAGTAAGTCAGAAGCACACAGTTGTGTTAGAAACAGGTATATTTAATGAATGGCAAATGACTTTTTGTGGAGATGGAAATCAAGGGGGAGAGAGGACAGGGACATTGGCTAAATAGATTGAGGCCAGCTTGTAGAACTCTTGAATA